GTCGTTGTCGTTGTCGTTGTCGTTGTCGTTGTCGTTGTCGTTGTCGTCGTCGTCGTTGGTGTTTGTTAACACGATAACTCAAAAAATAATTGAGATAATCAAAATCTGGAAACGCCAAAAGTTTTGTATTCGAAAAACTTAGTTTAAGTTCGAAGATGAGCCATTTTCAATTTGATCCTGGGGTACTTGCCCTAAGAAAAACCTCAAAAAATTGACAATTTTGTATGGAGGTACCCGTTAATCGATTCTGATTGGCTTCAAACTTTCTGAGGTTTCATTTTTTGGAGAAAAAATAAGATTCTGAAAGTTTCATGTTGATCGCATTTGCAGAAGTTTGATTTTTTGTCCTCAAATTTTGTCGACATTTTCTTGGAAAAAATTGAGGGCCAAAAACCAAACTTCTGCAAATGCGATCAACATGAAACTTTCAGGATCTTATTTTTTCTCCAAAAAATGAAACCTCAGAAAGTTTAAAGCCAATGAGAATCGGTTTACGGGTACCTCTCATACAGAATTGTCGAATTTTTAGTTAAAGTGACCGATTTTTCACTTTATTTTTATTATTATATTTTCACTGCCTTTATTTCAAGAAAATTCACAAAAAATAACCAAAAGTACCTACGGACAACGCAGGCCAACGGTACGGAAAAGTTCGGGATTACCAATGTAATTCTTTTTATATTCGTTAGAATTAAGAATCTTTAAAATTTGACTTCTTTTGCAATGTCTGACGCCCTTAGTTTACCACAGCCGAGGCTTCTGTATGTAAATTTGTTCGAAGTGCCGCTGTGGTCATTGAATTTATACTTTGATATAGCACATTTGGATTCAAAAACGTAATTTTCTTTGCATATATGTAAAGCTAAAACTAAATATAGTTCATTTTTTCCCGTCAGCTCTGTAGTTAATTGAGGTCCCTAGAATCAGCAAAAAATCACTACATTTCGTTTCACTCACGATAGCAATAAGCCCATCCCTCAAGATCGATGCTTTAACATTTCCATCCATCGGTTAGATGCATATAGTAATTCGTATCCATCTATCCAAAAGTGACGAAATTCTCCCAACCGCAGAAACATGCAGTATTTTAGAACCATTGCAACAAACTATCCACATTGTTGGCATGTTTACATTCTGGGTTCGTTAGAGCTCTTACTATGTCAGTCGAGTGTTTACCAAAAGTCTGCTGCACGTGCACATGTTGAATAATTTCAAGAATAACGTAAAATAATTTGTTGCGCAATGCGCATTGAAACACTCAAAATAAGCAGTAAACACTTCCGGAATTAATACGTTAGGATAGCGCCTAGATACGAAAATTCTAGATTACACTATTGGCAACAGCTGATTTCCATTTGTAACAAATGCAGTGGCATAGCTATCATTCGATGACTTTTAATAATGTTTCATAAACAACAAAAACTACGTCTTTGACAACAAATGTAAATTGTTTATTCACGTACAAAGTGACTGATATGAACTGCTGAGAAAATTCGTTAGACGCGTGGAACTTGGAAAAAGTTGAACGAAAATGCGGAACAACTATTGTTTTAATCACGGCTTAAAAAAGTCCCGAAAAAATTATGTTGATGTACCGCTTTTGCGTGCAACTTTTTCAAGTTCCACATTTACCTAAGCATCGAAATACGCCCAATGAATATTCTCATCAGTTCATACGCTCAATCTATGTTTCCACCTAATGTAAATGTAACGCGTTCATAAATGAATAAATCAATTTTCATTCAAATCATTTTCTTTCGAGTTTCCAACCGAACTCCCTCTTAGTTATGCCACTGAATTTCATAGAGTTCCATTTTCTTTGTTTATAGATCAACTAGTGAATGATAAATCTACACGCTTTAGTTTTATCTTTCAATTTCGCGTCAATGAGTGTCCCACCTTTTTTTGCACTGATTGATAATTTTATGATAGCAATTAAATATAATTGATACAAACTCTTAAGTGGTTGAGCTGTCCAAAACACATCTAAACCTGTTTGATGAACAACACTTTCTTCTACTTTTTGTGCACTCGGAAATTTGGTTTAAATAGTCGTCGTTAACGTAGGGTTCATCATCAGTTCAGTCGAAGGATTTGAAGAGAACAATTCCATCGCAGCGAAAAGTTGAAAACTAAAGTTTCATCAAAACTAAAAGTTCAAAACTGTGTTAAGCGTGAAGTTCACCAGGAATCCAGAGGAACGAATCAATTAGAAAAAATGGGAGTGAGCAAATTCATCGTACTTATCGTTGCTGCTTTGGTGCAACCATCATACTCTGCTCCGCCAGCAAATACGTGTCACTGTACTCGTGAATATTCACCAGTTTGTGCCTCGGATGGAGTTACCTACAACAACGACTGCCAGTTCCAATGCGAAAAGACGCACAACCAAAACTTACAAATCAAATCCTACGGCGAGTGTTACGATAAAGTTGACAGTGCTGAGGCTGAAATTTGCGCATGCACCCAAATGTACGCACCTGTTTGCGGCTCCAACGACCAAACTTACTCCAACGCATGCACATTAAAATGCGCCAAAAAGACCAACAAGAACTTAGTGGTCAAATACCACGGCGAATGCCATGAAGTCAATATTTTGCCTGAACCGTTCGAAGAAATCTGTGCCTGCCCATTCAATTTTGCACCTATTTGCGGCTCCAACGACCAAACTTACTCCAACGCATGCCTATTGAACTGCGCCAAGAAGACCAACAAGAACTTAGTCGTCAAACATCAAGGCAAATGCTAGTCGTTACACATGTAATTTGGTATCTTTTCAAAACTTTGTTGGAAAGCCAAAGCTGATATTTATTTGATTTATAAATAAAATTTAAAAAAAACTCAATACAAATGTTTTTCAATTTTTTTTTAATATATGTATACATCTTCTAACAATACTTCATACATCCACTTTCATTCATCTTTCTCATAAAAAACGCTTTTAGCCACAACAAATGGTGTTTTTTTGCTACAAATTACTTCTTTATGTTCAAATGGTACAGCTGAAGTTCTTCATTTGATATTTGGCAAGGTGCATTCGAAAGTAGATCTTTGCCCTCGGCACTCTTTGGAAAGGCTATCACATCGCGAATCGAATTGGTTTTGCACATTATCGATATCAATCGGTCAATTCCTGTAGATAAATAATCAATTCGATATAGTCATTTATCTCAATTTTGGTTGTTCTGAATTATTCAAGCGATTCTTGGATTCAATTCAGTTTGAATAAATATAATTTTACCTAAGGCTATGCCACCATGAGGTGGACATCCAGACTCTAATGCTTCAATTAAATGTGTAAGATGATCTGAGTCTAATTTCAGAATGTCATTTAGAATTCTTCGTTGCAAATCGGCATTGTGTATACGAATCGATCCACCACCAATTTCTTGGCCATTCAAAACAAGATCATAAGCCATCGATCGGCATTGATCTAAAGTGTCTGCTGACTCCAAAAGATGCATATCGTCGGGATGCGGTGCAGTGAATGGATGATGAACCGTTTCAAGCTGACCCGTTTCTTCATTTGGCAGGAACAAGGGAAAGTCAACTATCCATAGAAACTCATAAACATCGTCATTTTTTGGTTGACTTTTGATTTCGCCAATAGCTTCGATCAATTCCAATCGAATCTTGCCTAATGCCTCTTGCTGGACGTGGAAAGAAACAAGGAGATACATTTTAATTCAAACAATTTTCATTTCACAATGAATCTTAACCGATCTATAAACAAACAATTGAGATTTTAGTTACTTATTGTTTTTTGTTGTTTGACAACAAACTATTTTTTTTGCGCACTACATGAAATGTATTTCATCGAAGTAACTTTGCAGTAGTATATCATTAAAAGTTGTCCCTTTTAATAACACTATGGAATAAAAGCATAGTACGAAGGATATATGTATATTTGCAACAAAAATTGTACAGAAAAAAGATTTTCTCAGTTATCTCAATAATGAATTACAAAATCTTAGTTTAATTTCTTTTTTGAAAGATACATACTGCCTCTGGTTTAAATTGAATAAACAATATGAGCATAAAATTCAAATTCAATTTCAAATTCGTTTCAGTAGTCAAAAATTATTATGACAAAAAAAATTTCATGTAGTGCTAAAAATGGTAAAAAGTGACCAGAAAATACGTACTGCATTCGGCTTATTTCCTGAAGCCACAATTATCACATCATTTGGTTGCAAATGCCAATCTTCAGCTAAAGCTGACCCATTCAATTTAGCGACGCTCGTTTCGAAATTCTGAAAATTTGTAGGATTTTTTTTTCTCATTAGAATCGATTTGTTAATATTTCAATACTAAATCTCACCTCATCGTTTTTCAACTGAATAAGTTCGACATTTTTGCTTTGAGCTCCAATACGTCTTACAATCGCTTCATGCGCCTTTTTCAATTGCTGAGCGGTCTGTTTTGGTAGAACAATCGCGTAGGCTCCAAAGCTACGATTGTCATTGTCTTGACGAAGTGAATTTGTGACATTTTTGAGCTAGAATTTTGAATAAATTTTTTGAATTGCATTATATCTTCAATTTGCAATGAAAAAAATTCGTTCATTTTCAAATATGACACTCACCAAAAATTCCGTCGATCTTGTATCGGGTTTGTCAGAACCGTATGTTTCCATAGCTTCTTCGTAAGTCATTCGTCGGAATGTATTTGATATTTGTGGCAATCCTTTTGGCCACGAATTCACCAACACATTCTCAATCAACTTCATAATTGATTCAGGTTGTGTGAACGATAGTTCAATATCCAATTGTGTGAACTCCGGTTGACGATTTACAGTCGTGGTTTCATCTCTGGAAATTACAACACAAACTTTGAATTCTTTTCAATATATTTTGTTTGTACATTTACGATCAAAACAACACAAAACTCTTGAAATAAGAAACGAGTTATTCAAAAATTACCTGTAACATCTGGCAATTTGAAAATATCGATCGATAGCACCAGCCATAAGCATTTGTTTGAATTGCTGTGGGCTCTGCACAAGTGAATAGAACTGTCCCGGTTTTTGTGTTGGTACAACAAACTCTTGGGCACCCTATGAATGAGCAAGTTGATATGAGATGATGATGATGATAAAAGCATTTAGTCAATTTGTTTGCACAGTTGGTGCTTTATGGGAATGTAAATACTCACGCCCGGTGTTCGGCGAAATAGTGTTGGTGTTTCGACTTCAACAAATCCAGCTGCATTAATTAAATACTCTCTCATTTTCATTAAAACATTCGATCGAAGTCGTAAGTTCCGTTGCATATCTTCAAATCTCAAATCGACATAACGATACTTCATACGAAGTGCTTCGTTGGAACGATTAAACGAACGCACTTGAACAGGTAAACTAGCCACGGATTTGTTTAAAACATCACATGAAATCAGCTCAATTTCAATGTCACCGGTCTTCATTTTTGGATTTTTCATACTCGGTGGCCGTGGTATCACTCGTCCTTTTACTTTTAGAATTGTTTCGTAGTTTAAAGATTTGATATTTACCACATCGACAAGCTAAAAATGTGAGAAAGGGTGAAATCAGTGATTAATCTAATTTTTGAAGTATTAAAATAACGATTGCTGTGGAATTTTTAAATGTAATTTTGTTAAAAGATGAATATTACTCGAAAATCCGAACCAAATAAAGGCAATATCAATGAATTTACATGAATTGCCTGGTTGAATCATCAAGCATTTGCCTATACTTACATTGTCTGGTATCAACACCTGCGTATGCCCATAACCATCGCGCAGCGTAAAGAATCGTTTCATGCGTGAGAATTCGAGCCATCCACAGAGTGTGACCTCTTTTCCAATGTCTGACTCCCTTAGTTCGCCACAATTATGGCTTCTGTATGTGAATTCATTGACATCTGTTTCGATACACAAGCCACTTTGAATTGGCTCTGTATTCGTTGAATTCATACTTAGACATGGAGTTTCTGGATTTAAAATGTCAATTTTCTCTGCATACAATTCAATTTCACCTGTTGGACTATTGTGAGTGATGTGTGATTGGGGTCGTGCCAGTACTCTCCCTTGAACCAGTAACAAATCACTACTTTTCGTTTCACTCACGACAGACTTCAGTTCATCACTCTCGATCAGTACTTGCATATTGCCATATCCATCGATTAAGTGCATAAATTTCGGATTCTTTTTGTCCGTCCAACCCACAAGCGACACAATTTTCCCAGCGTCCGAAACACGTAGGCTTCCGCATGTATGCTTTCGATTTAAGAACCATTGCACCAAATTATCCACATTGTTGACATGTTTGCATTCGGTACTCGTTATCGCTGTCACTATGCCAGTTGAGTCTTTATCACAATTTTCATTAGTCGCAGTAGACGTTGAATAATGCCTGGAATTTGAAAAATTAACCCATTCGAATTGATAACATTCTTTTCTAATTGGTTTAACAAGTAGATGAAAACGTTACATTTTCCCTGACATTTCATTCGATAGTGAGTCATGGCGATAGACTTTCTGCACTCGAATTATATCATCCACATGCACCTCAACATCACCCGTTTGCAACGACTTTGATGAGAAGATAAAGAAAGGATCAGACATTTGGATTTATTTGATTTGATTGAAAAACGAGCTGATTTCGCAATAATTGCACATGATCGATGGGATAATGATTTAGTTTGATCGATGAAACTTGAAAAATACGTGCAAATATTTACTTACAAAATTCTTCAAATTGTTAGGGCGTCGCTTCACTTGGCCAACGATTGTGATGAACGTGTTCACGGGCATATTGGCGAAACGTTTGCTCACATTTATATTCTATAAGATTCAAAAGACGAAAATCGTACAATAGGCAAAATGATGAGCTTTGAATTAGCAAGTGGTTTAGTTCAGCCTTCGACTTAAATTCAAATGACACATTAAAATGAATGAAAAAAAAATCCATTGAAATAGACAAAAATCGATCAATCAATCTGGAATGAATCAATTCTGATCCAATTTCATCAATTAATCAGATTCGAATTTATCAATTGATCTGGCCGTTCAATACGTTCACAATCACATTTGTTTGGAAAATTAACATTATAAAATGATATAACCTCCATTGGTGCAACGAGCTGAATGACACCGAATTGGTCTTTCAGTTCAATGAATCGGCCCAAACGTGTGCGATTCACTTTTCCGCGCATTTCGACAATGGTGCCACTGTGATGTTCCCGCAACTCTCCGCAGTTCATGCGACGTGGTGGTGGAGGCGGCGATCTTGGTGACAAATCCATTACAAAATTTGATTCTGTGCATTGTGGCATCCGACTGGGACAGGTCATTGAACTCATAAAGCCTAAAACACACGAAGTTTAGACAACGAACGGACTTTTTGATAATAATTAAACGTAAGTAATGCTTCGACGCATTTTATTGCGGGTAAAATACTTACGGGGAATTTTCCTCGGTGGAATTCCATTGATATCAAATCGTCTTAACATACTGCCAAAAGTATTACAGTGCCTATTAGTGATGTGCTGAAAATTGAACGAAGCTGTTACTGCGTCTGAATTGAACTGTCGTCCAAATGAAACATATTGCAATCGAACAGGAATGAAGTGATGTGAATTGTTCGTACATCTGTGACAAGCATTCAATAATGTATCTCTCGTTTGTTGAATTTTTCATGAGGCCTGTGTGTATTTTTTTCTCTTTCCGCCGCTTAAGCAAACAAAACTGACGATTTCGTTGACGAAATGAAATGTGTGATCCTCAGCTCCGTTGTTCTGTTTTGTGTTCAATTAATTTATTCCCACTATTTTAAATGCTAACCTTATCTGTGTGATGATGGTGCAGCGATGCGATAGATCGTTGTACGGCTGGCAAAATCGATGCATACGCATTTTTGGCACCAAAAACTAACCTCTTTTGCATTGGAATCCATTTTATACCGTTTAACAACATGTTTGCACTTATTAACTAATTTCAAACGGCACAACTAAAAAGTTGTGCGAACCAACGAATCGATTTGTTGTTTTCGGTGTTTTCAAACAGACATAACCCTATTCTTTGACAGTTTTGACGATGATTTCATTTTCAATCGTTTCACATTCACAATCCACATTTTGAGTGTTTATTTCGTGCAATTGAATTGATATTGAGAATTTTGAATGCGCACGAGTGATTTTTTGTTTATATAAATTTTCCAATACAAAGAGGATTTTTTTCCAGCCCAATGTCGTGACTCGCGAAGTTTGATTCGTGCATCACATCTGATTGAACTAATTAATTGGACCGAAACACGGATTACGTATATCGAAATAAACAAGGTAGAGGGACAACAGTCAAACACAATTTTCGGTATTAAATAACATTTAATCAGATATATGGCACAATGTTTCAGTGGAACGTCCAATCAGCAGATAGATACATAATTGAATTTTTGTAATTCAACTCTTTTTCGCAACCAGAAATTCTATGTTTTTTTTTCTGACAGAAGTCGAGAAATTTGATAATGGTTGGAGATTTGTGTGGCTTGCAGCAAGCCACTTGAAGCATACTCCAATGTTTTTATTCTTGCATACAATGATTTTCCATAACGTTTTTCATCTTGAAGTGGCTTCTTATTGCGATAATAAATTCACTATCATTCAATTGGAGCTCATTCAGGTGAAGCATTTCTCCTATTGTACCTGTAGGTACTACCATATATGCTGACTTCAATTTACCTATATCGATGTTGATGTAAACATAACGATGAACCCTATTAAAATGAAATGATTTTAACCAAATGATCTTTTGTTCATCGAGGAAAAACTGAAAAAACCAAGAAAAATTTTAAAAAAAGAACGAATAGCTTACAAAATTTCTGTTTTTATTCCGAAAATAACTTTTTTTTTCTACATTTGTTGATAAAAATAAATCTTTGTACAATAAAAAATTATCAATAGTTTTGTTTACTGTTTTCCGTCATTCCTTTCAATAATATACTCTCGACTGAATAAGCCGTTTCTCATTTTCCATTCGCAGCTCAATCGTTTGCTTATAATATCAATGGTTTTATTTGGTGTTTTCTTCACATAAATCGTCATTTTCCTCAAGCATTGGCTGTGTTCCAAAAATTCTAAAATACAATCGCTAGTAATATGATCAATCCAGTTGAATTTCAGTTCCTGCACATTCGATAAAATATTTTTGAGTGCAAAGAATTTTTGAATATTCCATTCATCATCGTTCCATCCCAAAATTGTGAGTAATTTCAAATGTTGTATGCCTCCGAAGAAATCCAAGCATTTTTGATTCAACCTCAACGGTTCATTGGAACCGACCACCAGAAGATTTTTTAGTTGTTTGAATGAAAATGGAATATTTCGAATTGGAGTGTTATCGACATGCAATGAAAGGTTAACAATGTGATCAAGTTGAATAGGTTCGTGTGTTTCAGCATAAAATTCCTGTGGTAGACCTCTCAGTTCAAGGCAACGAAGTTTTGGCAAGCATTCATTTATCCATCCAATAAGTTGCAGACTGTAAATCGGGTAAATTTCCAATCGCTCCAGCTGTGGGTTCATTTTTACCATTTCTTTAATTTCGTTCTCCTCAAATTTATTCGCTTGAATTGTCAAATCTCTTACAGGTGGGAGATTTCTATAGAAAGCCTGTGGATTTTCGTACCAATTTGCATCCAAATTCAAAATGCAGAGATTTGGAAAGACTTTTTTCAGCATCGTATCATGTCCAAATTTACAAAATCCCACTGTTAGTTTATCAACATTCGTAAAAACACAGTCGCTACTTTCGAATGGGAATTTCGATGAATTCCCACACAATGACAGCGAATATAGTGATTTTGAACAATACTTCGCCAAATAGTGAGCTATTTCCATGATGAATTCCAGATGAAGTAATATACGGTCCAACTGAAGATCCCATATCAAATGACCGAAATTGCGTAAGAATTTCAATGCCGTCACTGGATTCCACACGAAGACGCTGTTGCACTTTTGTATGGGAGATGATTTGGTGCAATTGATTATAACTTTTGACTTGTGGTACTTTCGTTTAATGAAAACCAAGCAAACTGCTGTATGAAATAATCGACTGGTATCGGCCACATTCAATAGATCATTCAAGTCCAAGTAACCGAAGAGAAATTCTAAGCAGTCATCATCCAAACTGGTTAGTTTTATGTGCTTAGGTGCATCTTTCACGCTTTTTTCACGGAGAATTGAGGTCATTTTAGACAATTTTTTAGATTTTGTTATAACAAGAACCACTTGAAATATTTTTGATTTTGAATAAAGTCTCTTTTGTTTGGTTGTTGTTAATTGTTAATGTTTTTTTGTGTATATTGAATTAATATTGAGAATTCACTTGAAAAATTCAATGTCACAAAATGAAACTCAGTAGAAATTAAACTTCTGAATAGAAAGAAGTAGTTGAATTATGTGAAAATTAGGTCTTTCAACGACAATTAACAAACGAAAACTGAAACACAGTTAAAATGCATCTAAGTTTAAAAACTTTTCAAATGCATGGTCGCGAGTGTAAGCCATTATCGTTCTTTGCCATATCTTTTTCTCCTCTCTTTCGTCGCTTCGTTCTAATTTTTTCTTTGTTACTTCGAATGAAGAAAAAACGATTAATTGTTAATTATTTAACATTTTAAGACTAATGACTCTCCGATCGCCTCCACGAAGTCTAGACCCACAAAAAATATGTTTATTTCATGACGTCGACTATTTGAACACGAATTTTAATATTTGGTCTTGGGTTTTTAAATACTTTATGTTTAGGTAAATATTTTGAGGAAACACAGATATTCTTAAGCATATTTAAATGGTATGATAACATACAACTTGGCTTGAATTGTGCCCAATATTCTACCTGAAGTCATTTTTTCATAGAACGAAGTGATTTTCTTCAAATAAACGAAAAAATGCAGGTAAGCACCAATCTGGTCATTGTGCACAAACTGTGAGTTTCATCTGTTTGCCGAAGCATATTTTCGTTCAACGACAACAGATTTTGGTGGAAAAAAAGGTAAGTGTAAATCTTGGTATGCACAATGAATTTTAAGCATGAAAAGAAAGAAAAAAACGATTTTGGACAGTTGCACTTTGAAACGTTGACCGTTAAAGTTGACGGATTTCAATGGAAAAAAGCGACAAATTCAAAAATTTGAGTAATTTTTGCAGTGACTCTCACATACGCTGTGCGAATTTCATATGCCATTATAACGCCCACATGTTACGCGTTCCGCTCAATTCAGCTCCACGTTCGAGTGATGTTTTCCAGCGTTGCCATTGCTATTGCAACCGTTTGAGTGGATTTAATGCGCAGGAGTAAAATTGAATGAGATTTTTGGTAGGTTCTCTCCAATTTATCTGGCGTGTTATTTTCTGCGAGTGTCCATTATAATTTGTGTTCGATGATTTCGCAAATTGTCTAAGAAATAAAAGCACGGTGTTGCTTGTTCATTGGTTCAGTCGAAAGTAATTCGCAATAGATAGCACATATATCGGAGCGATTGGGCTCGACAAACGGAAATCTTGTCGCGAACAGCATCATTTTGGTAAATCCAACTAAAGTTGTAGAAAAGAGCTTAAATTTGGAATTTCTGGTTAGGTGGCATTCAACAGGTTCTTAAAGTTATTTCGAGCCTTTCAGCGACACAAGAAGAAGAAGAAGAAAAAGAGACGACGAAGTGAAAAAAAAAAAACGTTCAATCTACGCTTCATTTGAGACTGTCGAAAAATGGCTATATTTTTTAGACATCACGTTTTTGCCATTTTCGCTGTTTTATTATCGACCACAGTGCTTGTTAAAAGTTTGCCTACGTCGGTGTTAGTTGATGCAAAGCAACAGCAAAGTGAATCGTCATCGTCAGCCTCCTCATTGAATAAAGGTAAATGTACCCTCAAGAGAGAGAGAAAAGTTTTTTTTCTCTATTTTTTGTTTGTTTCATTTTTCGACATCTTCCATGAATTTCAAACTTAAAAAAAAGCATATAAAACCATGGTGACTGAGCCCGCATAAATGACCGAATTACTGGGATTACAGTGATGTTGGGGTGTCTCTATGCACACAAGCAAAAACGCCCCGAGTTTTACAAGTTGACGCAAAAAACAATTCCAATTATAAACGAGATCAATATCAATTCATACTCCGCATTTCTTTTCCAATGAAAATAGTCCATTTATAAAATACTGGAAATCCATTTAAGGGCAAGCTCATTGTGTGCCTGTGAATCGCTTTGTAATTTGTAGGATAAACAAGTAGTTTTTCTTTTGCTGTTTGTGGAAATAGTTTCAATTAATACAATCATCGCATGATTTGTGCCACCTACTGTGTGCTTGTTACAATTAGGCTTTTACCACCCAAGCGACTAGGGAAACAACGCGCTGAAAACAAAATCGTATCAATTCATACATATTGCTAACCGACGATGGATAAAGTGTTTTGCTTCGCAATTCGAAATTGTTTGTGGACTTTTCTCTCTCTCTCTCTCTCTCTCTCTCTCTCTCTCTCTGTGTGTGTGTGTGTGTGTTTCTTTCTTTCCCTCTGTCTCTTAACCCATAATAAATTTTTCCATTGTGTGTTCAATCCTGAACTGGGTACTCCAGTTTCGCTGGCATTTTATCGCGTTTCGAAATCGAATACATGAGAAAATGTCGGGCATGTTGAAATACGCATATATATCTCCCCAGTCAACCCGAGAGATAAAGAGCATTCGCTTTCGCATGCATACGGTTCGAGGCGAACAACAGGTTGTTTGTTCACTCATGTGCAAAAATCAAAAGATAATGAGTTGATGGGGAGATACATCTTGACAGAGTGAGAGAGAGAGAGAGAGAGCACGCGTTTAACACAAAAAAGCTTTTTTTCTAATTCTATATTCGTTGCCTCATTGCCATTCAATGGTATAGATTCGCGTTTTATCCACTTTTCTCGCCATCATCATCATCATTTGCTGTGAATAAAAACTTTTATACGAGCAGTATTTATTGTTTCCGATGACTTGTGAACCTTACGATTCACACCAAAATGGAAATTTATCAAGCTTTTAGTCATATTAACAACGGTCCATGCTCACAACACAAAATACATACCCTCATATATGATACGGTTTTGTCCATATGGAGCCCGGATTGTATCGTAAAGTTGAATCATAATCGCAAAAAGCTTTCATTTCCCTTTTTTCTGCTTTTCGCTGCTTTGCACTCGTCATTTGTGCCAATAGCACTTTCCACAAAAACCTCTGATTAATGCATTGTATTATCCGAAGCATTCACGCAAAATATGATTATTCCGTTTTCGTATTGCCTGGAAAAGACGTCTTTTGATAGCACTGAATAAATCATTTCTACGTTTCTTTTCATTTTATGGATAATAAAAATTGATGGCAATTGTGTGACACTTGGGTCAAAATACGAATATGTGACGAATTTTGACATTTTAATTCTATTAAATACTTCTTTTAAACAATTTTCAACTCCTTTTATACCAAGGCGGTATTTCCAATCAACAAGATGACGAATTTCTTCTGTAAGTTTTTATGTTCCTTGGCCGTTTCAGAATATTCAGATTCAAAGCAAAAAGGAGGAAAAAGGAATCCATGAAGAGATGGTATAGAATTCCACATTTTTCGGTATCGATTCCATCCTGTCGTTTAAATAAAGACCATAAATTGAATTAGCCAATTTGAATTGATGTACGACAGAAAAGTAAATAAAACTCAATTTAATTTGCTCGGGGTGCAAATTGTCTAGGTTCTTATAAAATAAACTCTTTCTTTTCCTGCCTCTCTCTCTATCTGCCACTCTCTTTCTTTCTTCGTTCCTTTTTCCCTCTTATTCGTTTGATTTTTCCCTTTCATTATTCTATCGGAGATCTATTCTTGCTTTTCCGCTCTTGGTGAAACTTCTTCTCGCTTACGCAATCGTAGGATTGGTGATGCCTTTGCTTTTAGGATTTCTATCTCTCTTTTCCATATATTCACCCGAACCATTTTCTTTTTGTCTATCATCATTATAGAGAACCATCCAACAAATGTTAAGAGCAGTCAATCATCGCTCGAACATGGAAACCCAATTATTGCTGACAGAGCCCAACCAAAGCTACACGCACAGAAACGTGGAGGTAATGAGATGTGCAGCATGAGAAAGCAGTTTATAGTAAACCGCAATAAAAAGCAAAAACGGCCAGTCAGCCATCCATCCTATTCATGAACTAATATGATTCAGTTGTAGTTCCATTGAGTGTTCTTCACACACACACACACGAATGAAGATATAAAATCATATGAAAAAGTTTTAGTTGGTTGTTATTGGTTATAACAACAGAGTGTTCATAAAGTTCATGAAGAGAATGGTTCATGCATCAAATAACAATTAAAAAGCTTGTTGACGTTTATTATTTTGTTTCCTAGTTTGTTTCCCAATTATTGTCTAATTCGAAACAAAGCCGTCCTAATGAACTTTTCCTTCGTTTTCATTTCATCCGTTCGGTTTTGTTCACTCTGTTCGATTCGTTTCGTTTCCAACTCGATGAAGTCAAGCAAAATTTCTATGAGCCTGGCATGCCGAGTGACCTACTATTCAACAATAACATTCCAGCCGGCAATTGGGACGATCCTGAGGAAAATTCACCATATGCTGAATTCCAAGACTTAGAAGACTATCCACAATACTATCAGCCTCCATGTCAGTATCAATTTAAATTTAAATTAAATCCGATTTGTTTATCCGCACTAAGAAAGCTCGAGAGATGGGTGACATTTTCACTCTCTCTCTCTCGAATTTTGAAGATGTTTGTGTTTGTGGGTTTTGCAAATCATTTGCATTTTCCAACATGAATTATTCATGTCAAAATACATATTTCACTATACATTCTGTTGTGATTGTTATATATCGAACAGTTTCAGCACCCCATCATCCACGACCGTACGATAATTTCCAGCACATAATGAGTACGGATAATTTATACGATGAACCATTGGCATTACCAGTCAAATACAAATATCCAACGCGTTACTTTGACGAACGACGTAAGCGTGGCGTCAATAAAAGCATCATGAGGTGAGTCAAAAAACACATTTCAACAAAACCCTATTTATGCAATTATTATTTTGTAAAAAAAAAATTGCGTGTTCGACAACGATTTCTGCGAAACAGTTCCAGATGGATACGTTCGCAAATATGCACATTCGATGGTGTATCGCACAAACATAAACATTCTATCGTGTTATTGTAATGAGTCCTTGATGTCAATAATATCGATGTTCTTTTGATTACTTTCTTTGAAATGAAAACGATTTTTCTGCAAAGAAAGAAAAACCGAAGCAACATTTCTCGGTTCAAGTGATGGCAATTTCTTATCCAATTTCTTGCATCATGCAAATTACACGCTTCTTTGCGCAATTTCGATTTACAATCAAAAGTCAACAGACAAATTGTGCAGGATATTTTTTTCATCTTCGGAATTTCTCTCTCTCTCTCTCTCTCTCTCTCTCTCTCTTTCATACCCACAACGAGTGTCTCTACCAAGGAATCAGTCCTAGTTGGGATTTGCAACTTTGATGTCGGTTTTTTTTGCAGTCGTATGCTGTCAACATGAGTCTCTCCGTTCAATTGATGCGTCATTTTCATAAGAATCCCATGAAATAAAAAGCGCAATAAGATGATAACCATTCGTCTCGTTGAAAATAAACGATACCGGCAACAATGTCTGTTGCATTCTCTGCTCATCACACACATACATTTTAGATCCATTATAATGTAGAGATCAGCTCATTTGTAAGCTTAGACCGGATAATGAGTCAACCTGTGACACCTCCATGACGAAAATATTACCATTGTTTTATCATTATTATTATTATCTTTGGTTTTGAAATGCATTACGTAGACTGTTGTCATCTTCACTCGTTTGCTTCAAAACAAAAGGATTCTATCACGTTGAATGTCAGATTACATTCATTTTTAATGGTGTCGAATTCGAGGGAAATAGAGAGAGAGAGAGAGAGAAAAAGAAAGCACGTCATACTGGCATCGATTCGGCGTAGGCCATTCAATATGTCAATTTCATCCATATCTTGTTTATCAATTAATGTACGGGTCAAGTTTGTTTGCTCGACGCAGGCAACATAGCAACTCATAAAATATGGTACCTATTTTTGCACCATCATATTTTATACAGAGCATTGAATCTGCTGGCTATGTAGCGCTGCTGTTGAACAGCTGCTGTCAACAGCGACTGTTGGTTACTTTTTTGTGCATGCGACACCCTTAAGGCCTCACGCGCCAACTAATATATGCAGACAGAGATATGTGTGTACCACTTGCGTGCAGGTTCATGCCAATTGGAGATGGTGCGCGGGGCCTACAGTGTGTCGCATGCACAAGAACGTAAGCAATAGCAGCGCTACATAGCCAGCAGATTCAATGCTCTGATTTTATATTGATATGGATTGAAAAATATGGAATGTGATCTTTTCCCCCGCCCGTTTGCTCTGCACAAGTTGTACGGCATTACCTGTATATGCACCGTTGAAACGGTTGGTAATGTAGGTGGTATGAACTATTTAGATTGAACCTAGGCGTCACAGCTGTGGAACAAAAAGTAGGACGAAAAAGGAATGCGTAAATTTTTCAAACAAATTGAAGCCTCTCTTATCGAGAATGAAATTAAAATCGAATTATCATAAATATCTAATTTGCATGCCGTTGACAACGGTTATCGACCGTTTTTCTGATGTAAATTTAAATGTTTTCAGGCGAAGAATGTTAGCCTTCTGAAAACTAAGGTCTTTGATTCTGAGACATAAGCAAGTTCACAGATTCGTCTCTTTGAACCGTTTATCGGCTTTTCTGTCCATCCATTACTGTTTACATTGCAAACAAGTGTACATGTTTTGATATCGCGACATATTCATGATATAATCCAATATTTTGTGATTAGATACCGTTGTCCAATAAGGTATCTAGGTTCAGTAGAAGGCATCTAGCTTCGGTTAACATAGTTCAGTAGAAAAGCATAGAATTCGGTGTATGATTATGATATTTTGATAATCGCAACGCCATAATGTTACTCCCAAATGAAAGCAACTTTGTGTAACTAAACGAGGACAATGTACTTAAATGCTGAAATTTCCACTGGGATTTTATCACGCAAAATGTGTTTTTTTTGCTTGATGTGAAGAAAGAGTTATTGTAATAACAAATGTTGACGCATTGAGTCATCATATCCGATAAAGGTTCAACATTATAACAATGGCTGCATTTATTTAATGTACGTGTTTTTTCCTCTCTCTCTCTCTCTCTCTCTCTCTCTCTCTCTCTCTTTTTTTTCTGCTTCTTCTGTTGTTCTCGTATGTTTTCCCATGATTCCCCGTAGATTGAAACGTGATTCGACCAAGTTGAATTCAGCGGATATGCTAGCACTTTTATCGTTTCTTGAGGCAAACCAACGCAATCGCTATGACAACGGCAACAGTAACGATGAGATAAATGCCTTAGAATATCCAAAACCATTCTATGGGCCATACGGTGTTAATAATGATGATGACATTGTTAACAGCGGTGAATGGTGGAACGAATGGATCGAGCCATCTGTTCAGTATTACGGTGGTGGTAATGCACGCGGCAATGGACGTTTCGATGAAAATCCAAGAAAACGCCCCACATCAACAGGTAGGTTTCATTTCGTTGATATTCCTCTCTTCCTCTCTCTCTCTCTCTCTCTCTCTCTCTCGCTGTGTGTGTGTGTGATTACATTACATTTCACCAAACATGTGTTTTAAGATTGCTGAGCATCTCAGCATTTCGTAAGGCACGGATATATCCGAGCATATCGACGACGCATACAGTGGCGTGCGTTGCTACACGACCGGAATTTGTATGTTGTTGCTGCGAACACAATTCGGTCGAGTCGTTGCGGCTGCACGTAGCAACACACACCGCTGTATTATACAGTATGCGTCGTCGATATGCTCGGATATATCCGTGCCTTACGAAATGCTGAGATGTTCAGCAATCTTAAAACACATGTTTGCATTTTACGGAACAGTGAGCAGGTTTTATTGATTTTTATTAAATTGCCTTCGAATTCATTCAAACAGTATTCCCAGTGAAGCGGTTCATGGTCGCCAAAAAGAAACGTGCAAACCAACATCATGTATCTGACGATAATATTGCTGCTGCTGTTGCCGATGATGCTAAAGATTTAAAGAAAAAGTCACTGTTTGGCTCTTCATTTGGCGTTGACATCAATCCACGATGGACAAGCGCCTAAATTTTTTTAGAAAAAAATCGATCAACTATTTTTTCTCTCTCCGAACATTAAATTTGGATCAACGCATCAAACAACAAAAAGAAAATCAATGACGACACAAGGAATTTTTCTATACTGAAAAAAAAAAATACAAATGGCATAACGAAAAACGATTTCCATTTAGTTAGCATATAAGAATAAGAAGAAAAACTGCTGACCGACTTTAATTGATTTTGATCCTAATTTTACGTACCTTTTTTTATTGGCATTTCTCTCTTTCTCTGTCTTTTGCACAAAAAGCAGCACTTTTTTTCTTATGTATCCAAATATTGTTATTTGGACATTGGATTGAGTATGTATGATGTATGTGTGTGTGGATATCTCCTGAAAACCATCCAATCTCCCTTAAATACAAATAAACTACATAAAATATATTTGTACGTTGTAAGTTTTTTTTCCCGTTAATATGACGATATGTACTTATGAGAAAATCCATTTAAATAAAAACACAACACTTTAATGAATTTACATAAAAGCATACCATTTTATGGATTGATATATATATACACTCGTTTAGATGTGTATATTTTATTGTACAATGGCATATTATGAAATAAAATAAAGTTATATTTTTGTGTCTAACTGTCAATTTATGGAATTTGTTACGTATTTTAACGATGATTTTCTTCGATTTTTCACCATTTATTCAACAACATTTTTATTTTGCATCATTCCTGATGTTTTCGTAGTTTGGCGAAATCACCAGCGATAACGTATCGCCTTAGTTCAATGCACGAAAAAAAATCAACCATCGTATTTGGCAATTGTTATCGACCTAAACCGGATTGATTGAATTACAAAGTAAATTTATTACTTAATGTGAAACGTAATTTGAGAAAATTAATCTATTTAAATGAGTCTTGCGTTATAACAAAGTAAACAATGGCAATATTCAATTTCGTCAGAATTGAAATACGACTTGGCCATAAAGTGAGCACATAAAATTGAACGTTATTATCACGAATAAAATTCGTTTTACCCGTAAAAAATCAATCGGACTTCACTATATCTCAGTAGTTTTGCCAAATATATAGAAAATTCATTTGTAGTTAACGATACTAAGGACAGTAAAGTCGTCTTTAGTTGATACTATGGAAACCTTTTTTGAACTATTCTTGTTTTCTTGATGAAGTAGACATTTTTAGATCTGATATTGAGACAAGATTTGACATCAAAACGTCGTTTACGCCAATTGTTTTATTACCAATGTTTAGGTTTCTATATCAACCGATGACCGAATTGATTAAATTCAACAGGAACCGATCAACGAAAACTTCATGACGTTATTCTTTGTATAAAGAATTTAGTCTAAATCGAAGCAATGTATGAGAGTAGAATGAAAAGCCAAAACTCTTTACGAAAGAATTGAAATGCATTTTATTTGAATTGTCGAATTAATCTTACTGTCTACGTTCAATACAAAATAAAACCTCTTGAGATTAAAAGTAATTATCCCGATATATATATCAAAATGGTGTATACCATCAGAGAAATACGACAAATTTAAATCGAACCAATTTGTTTTCAAACAGCTTTGCAAATAATTTCGAACAAAAAAATACAGAAAAATCCTCAAAAAAATCTTACACCAAAAATAATACGATTTAAACACCGTAGTCAAAATACAGAAAAAACAATTTGTTGCCAGAACACATCGGATTGAATAAGCAAAAGAAAAGAAGTCTTAAAATCTATAGAATTTATCGTAGCTGAATGCGTCGTGTTTTCTTGCGTTTTGTGGTTTTGCGATAGCCTTTTCCATACCAGCCGGGTTGTACGATTCGCTGTGTGGTTACCTTTGCCGTCACCGAAGTATCGACCTTGAGTCGTTTGCAGCGGCTTGAATCAGTGTCATCTTCTTCGGAATTGGTTTTCGGCTCTTCGCTGCCATCAATTTCATCCAACGATGTTTGCTCCTCATCGTTGTCAAAGCCATCGTAATCACAACAATCGCACAGGATCCGATTGCCATTACGGCGTCGCGCTACCGACACATGAAATTCGAGCTGTGGCTTGTAAAATTGGCATTTATCTTCTGCATAATTCTCAAAGCAGAATTCACATTCAGCTAAATTACGATTCAGTTGATGGATTGGGATGATGATTGTGCTCCAGATATCGACTTCAAAAAAGAAAAGAAAATCGACTTTAATTTCGTTGAAATTTTCGAATTGTTTCTATATAAAATAAGATTTCTCGTCGTCCTTACCTTCGTTCGGCGGTGGATTTATAATACTGTGTAAACCCGAGTAGGCGTAATTCACATCATACCAATTCGGTACCACGCCTTCAATCGCATGATAGTAGTTGATTAGGGATTTTAGGTAACCTAATGAGAAAAATTTGAGTACGTTTAACATTTTAAATTTTTTTCTTACAAAAACTGATTTCTTTCCGCCCTTACCTTCATCTTGCTTTTCATCGCCGTTGCTCAATTCAAATGATAGTTCGGTTTTGATGGTTGGCATTGTGCCAATTTTCATCAAGCTCTTGTGGTTCGCCATCATTTTACCTTTGCTTTGCTTCAATTCCGTGCTTTTGTCAGTGTTAATTGTTTTGTGTGTGTCATGCGGTTGGAATGAGATCTCATGACGTTGCGAGTGGTTTTTGGCGGTATGTTTGATATGAGGTAATTTTAAATCATCATCATTCCTAGTGCTTGAACAGTCTTTTTGCTCTTTATCTCCTAAACTTGCTTCAATCTCCGTTGATTTTACATCCGCTTCATTTACTTGGCAACTTTCAGACTTATCATTTATTATTTCGTTGTTAGTAACTGCAGTTGAATTGTTTTTAGTATTTTTCGTTTCAATGTCATCTGGTGTTTGTGTGGGGTTTTCAGTTTCAGCTTTGACTTTGTTCACATCATTATTCAAATCACTCTGTTTCATTGTTGACTCTTCATCCATTTCCTCTTTAATTTCCTTCTTTGCCTCCGCATTGTCGGCATGTTTTAGCATCGGCTGTGAAACGGTGTGTACTTCTTCGGGCAGCAACAGGCTGGCGTGTGTGAAAATCGGATCTTTCATTCGATTGTATGGTGCCACTTTGATATTCATATAATTCATGACCAATTTCATGACTTCATCACATTTTCCGTTGATTTTCAGTGAAGCACCTTTGTCTTTCGGTGTCCATTGCAAATTTACAATGTAAATTTTCGGCCGTTTACTTTTCGGTCGATCCATTTGCCAGAGCCATGTATACTTTTTGAGAACCTTCAAACTTGAGCCCATGCATAGAATCACATCAGCTTTCTCTGCATTTTTACACGCACTCTCCCAATTCAATGGCCACTTCAAACGACCTACAATTTCGAAAAGAATCGGAACACAAGAAGATTCATCATGAATATTTTTGGAATCGGCGTAACAAGGTGAATTGTATGATCTAGTTTCTATTTTTCATTTATTCGAATAAGTTTCAGCTAAAGCATGAGTAAAGCATAAAAAATTTATCAAAATCAAGAGCTTAATTTGGCTTCCACCATCCACAAGCATTTCTTCCTATGGATTTTCTGCTATCAATAGATATTTCCAAGAAATTACAACTTCTGTAAAGTATAAGCAAACCACTGTGGCGTAAGTAATTTCTCATGACAAAGTTGTTCGTTTGGATTTTGCATGGAAATTGGAAATCGTTGGCGGCGATTATCAGGATAAAAAATAAAATTTTGAAGTGGTAATGATAAAAGTTCGGAATGGGTGTGAGATTTTCAGCAGAAATTGAGTGAAGAGTGTTGAAAAAAAAATTACATCTTTTACGCTTTGATTGTGCGCCACTCAAGTAAGTAACCTTCATTTAGTGCAGCCATATCAAATGTAATATATATTTGATATGAAAATAATACGATATATGACTCTTATCCATTTCACAAACATAACTCGCTAAAAACAGTGTGAGCGTCGACAGAAACAGAACGAATAGAAGTAATAAAGTTCGGCATAGCAGCTGTCGATTAACTTTGGATTTTATCAATGATCTATTTACAGCTACAATCAATAATGCGAGCAAAAATATTAAACATTAATAAGAGTGTGGCATACCGCGTTCACCGAAATGTACAATCGTATCGATGAGTGGTTTGAAGCAAAAATGGCACCGTCTATTTGTTTTGTGATTGTATCGGGCTGTGCGTTCGGTTGTATCGAATAGACGCCAATACTCAATATTTGGCTTGCAATATTTACACACTTCGATGTACATATTGCCGTGAATTTCGGATATTAATTTTCGTGGTAGACCGGAGCGCAAGTGCAATCCATCACAGTTTTGTGACAATGTATAGCGTAGAATGTTACGTCGATGGAGTTCAAATAATGACATGTGTGTGAATGTTGGATCGGCCAGTGATAAATCGTACTGTCCGATCTCTTTTCCCTGTTGTAATAGTGTCCATATTCCTTGACTGCCACGGTAATCGGGGATCCGGGCTGAGGTACTGATGCCAGCACCCGTGTAACACACCAAATGCTGCGCTCTTGACAGAACATTCGCTAATTTCCTCGCTTTTTCCTCAATCACCTCGGGCGGATCTTCTTTCTCAAGAATGCGTTCACGAGTATTAGCAATATGCTCTCGACGCTTGTTAATCTGACGCACAATATCCGCATTGTCTTCGAGCTGCTTCAATTCATCGATTGTTCGTGTTTCCTCACCTTTTCGCAGAATTATCGAAATCTATAACGCAAAGAGGGAGAGAGAGAGTGCGATAAAGAGTTTCGAATCAGTTGTGCTAAAAAAAAATGTAAACAAACGGCCGAAAATAGAGAGCGATAATGTTTACAAATGGATTATTCACACGCGTATGCATGAGTTTGTATTCACATGGATAAGTGTGTGTGTGTGATTGAGAGCGCACTGTAATAAACGTGACTCAAACAGTGATACTAAAAATGTAACCGGATAATTTCGATTTTAAACCCGTAACAATCAATAATCATTACGACACCAACTATTTGAACAAAATGAAACCCAATTTTTCCAAAGCAAACACACTCACCCGTTGATATGATTCGCGTTTCTTCTGTTTCTCACAAATTTGCACGTTTTCATTACATTTACGTCGCCTTGCATAACTTTTGTACGGATTGACATCGTCATTTGAACTGCAGCCACTCAGTGTATTTCCATTGCCATTATCATCGTTGCCACTGTTGCATTCCTTTTCAATTTCACGATTCTCGGGCAAATTACTGTTGACCATCTTCCCCAATTCGATTTGTCTCTCAGTCGTTTCGGAGAATTCGCATTTCGACCATTTTAACAGCATGTCACACACTATCAACCCAAAATATTCAAACACCACATAACCAAATTTCAAATCACATTGATTTTTATGGATATATTTCTAAATAGTTGGACTTGACGTGAAGATAAAATGGTATTTATTAAAATTTCCGAAAAATTTTACGCACAATTCAACACGATACTGAGACAAACCATGCGTTTTACCACTGGGACTTTTTTGCGGCAAATACATTCGTTGTTAGAGACAATAGCAGCAATTTAGTGTCGCCGTTTCGTTACGCGAATGAATCACGTACACAGTCACAAGTGAGCAGACGCTTCATTCACTATGTTTACAAATGTTTTGTCCCACAGAACAACGACAAGGTGCCTGCTTCTTTTTCACATTTCTTTTTTCTCTACTCGTCGTTGTAGTCTTCGTATTCAATATATACCTTCTATCGCTTGTATTCAATGCGAATCAAGACACACGCTCACGTACACATACACACGCATCACCCATACATTGACACAACAATACTTGCATATATTGGCCTAATTGTTTTGGTTCGCACACAATAACAAAAACAAATGACATTTCGCCTGTCAATCAACACAAACTCATGCGGTGAATGAAACGGGAAGAAAGAGACGATTTTTTACAAATAAATGATGAATTTTTAATTCTTTTCGTTATAGATGAAGATGTAATTTAGTTTATTTCAACTCTATTTTAAATTTTATCCTCATTTTTCACATGATTCTCTCATTGCAATTCTGGCGGCAAAGTATTTTAAGTACACTATTCTTACACTGTAAAAAACGAATTGCTTTGAATCAATACTTAAGGTTTTCATATGCGATTTTTCCCCTCACCAACGACTTGTTAACAATTTCAAAAATTTGTTTTGAAACAAAAAAAAACACAGTGGAAATGTTTAATAACGTACGGAATCAAGTAAAAATGAGGATTTGGAGCTGAGATTTTTAGCATGAAGAAGTTGATGTGTTCAATTTTGAATGATTTTTCGACCAAACCCCTTAGAACGTTGTAAATTGAATTCATAAAGATTCAACTATCATTTTGAAAGCAATCTGAAAATTTTGTTTTCCAAGTATAAGTCAATCCATTCCCCTTTCCATTCAAATAAAAACTCCAATTCTTGGTTCTTATTATTTATGCGGTTTATTTTATTTGAACTTAACTAAAAAAAAAGACAAATTATTCCATGTATATAATTCATGCCGTTGTGTGATAAATCGTTAAATTCCGAAAGAAACGAAAGAAAACGTGACACGGCTAATTGTTGTAGTCAAGTTTGTAATTTGAACAGTAGATCGATCTTCGGCAATTAAAAAAGATGCACTTTAACATTGACAACACATAGAAATCCATTTTGGTATTAAATATCGTGGCTTAGAGATATAAATCCAAATTCAGTGTGGCTAGAAAATTGCGCTTACAACACGTAATCAAGCTCATAGCGGGCGTATTGATTTTTGGTATCGTTAGCGATTCTTGGATATCCAGCGACCAAAGCATCTTGACTCCCAATGTAAAGTGAATTATAGATCTTCCAATAGACATCACGCACCTTTCGAGCCGGATGGAATAAGCCCTGAAATCGAAATAAAGAAAATTTGGCATTAGTTAAATGGCATCAAAATTTCAAAATTTGAATAAGTTTACCTGTAAAGTGTACTGCAGAATTTTATTTGGTCCAATTGCAACACGGAGACCATCGACAGCGTCCATGAATGCTTGCACTAAATGTGGTGAGGTTTCGAAAATGTTTGGCCACACATAGTTCAACAAATGTGTTAATGCATCTTCGCATCCAAATCCATAGACTCCCAGCGCCATGTGTTTGATGGCCGCACACGCGGTTTGTCGATGAACCAAATCTCGATCCATCAATGCGTCCTCTAACAGCGGGCAAACGGAATAAATGTAATCCTTTCCCATTTCTCCAATGTACTCAAACAAGAATGACATTGATTTCAGTACACCGTTCTGAACGTTGAGCTCCGGCACACGGTATTCGTTCATTAAAGCGGGCAAAACGGTGAATGGTCGACATGTTTCGGCGACAATGGCTATAGCAACCGTTGTACAAACACGATTTTGACGTTCTTGAACTTTTAAATTGTTCAACAGCGTGGCCAACACATCATGTGGACCGATTGCCTTGGCAATATAACCAAATGTATTGACGGTGGCTCGTCGGATGGCTTTTTTGTGTGCTTTCAACAATTCCAACAGTTCAAAGCAAATTCGCATCCATTCACGTGCCGACACATATTCAGGTCCACGATCGGCGATTCGACCAACCAAATCGATGCAGTTCTCTTGTACCTTCTCGTGACGATTCTTCAGAATGGGCGTTAGACGAGGTAGCAAATCTTTAATCGGTGGCGTCATTTTTGTCATACCAATCACATTGACAATCGCTTTGAGAGCGCCCAAAATCGAACCTAATACTTCTGGATATTCTTCACCAAGGTATTCATACAATACAACACCCAAATGACCCATCAATTTCTCCTCCTGACACGTTTTCATAACAACGGCAATGCGTGAAATTAAATCAGCCGCCTGTTGTCGCACCTTTGCCGATTTATTGTTCAAACGCCACAGAATTGTACCGCAAATTTGCGGCAAATACGGTTTGACACGTTTTCCCAATTGATTTACAATGGTACCAAAGCCATTCAACATGACAACATCTTCGGTTGTTTGTTCTTGGAACGCATACAGTATACCATCGATAAGCAATTCTTCAAGATGTGAATCAATATCGGCCGCGCCCAAATTGGCCATAATCTTTTCAATGGTTTCCATTACCATCTTACGATAGGTTTCATTTTCGTCTTTTAAATCGTCAACCACACGATTGATGATCTCCGATGCACCCACTTTGTTTGCAATTTCAACGGTTGTATCGACCAATTGACGATAGTTGCGTCGATCCAGCGCCATACGATGGTTCCAGAAATGTTTGAAGAAATGCGGTAAAATCTCTTCTTTAATATATTGCGGTTCAACACCATCCGTTGCACAACATTGCTTCACGACTTTCAATACGATTTTCTTCATTTCTTCGTCGGGCGACTGGAACTCTCGAATCAAAATCAACATCACTTCTCTGGTATAGTAGTTTGCGTATTCGGCATCCATCAATGGGATCAAATAACCGATGGCTTTCAAGAATGCAGCCAAACCTTTGCCACGATGTGTTCGAATACCTTTCCACAGTGGTTTCAACACGGAATCGAACGATTCAATACCATACGGTGTGGCGGCTTCGGCGAGTGCTGCAATGGCCAATGCAGTGATGGTGCGCACTTTTTGCTGTTCGTCGACCAATCCGTGTTCGATAATTTGTACCAAACTCTTGAGATGCGGCAAAATGGCGCAACCCATTAAAATAGCGATTTGCTGAACGATTTTAATACCGGTGTGCCGGGCTTGCCATGATTTTTTACTCTTGCATACGGCTTTGAGGAAGGGCAATAGTGATGGAATGCCCAAAGCGGATGCAACGACCGCAAATGCACGAGCCGTTGTATTTCGTACGTACTCATCGATGTTGTCGATATCGGGACGCATGGTTGAAATCATAGTGGCCAAACCAGCTGCTTTTGCCAAATTCGAAATGATCTCACGACCCTCGACACGGGCATAGTAATCTTCGTCGATCAACAACGGTTCGATGACGACGAGAATTTTGTGCACGTATGGCCGAACCAAATCGTCTAATTTGTAGAGAATACGATCGATGACCTTGACCAATAAGTGACGTTCTTGATCTTCAAGCGTTGGACTCATGAGCAGTGGTAGAATTTGATTGAACAATGGGCCAGCACCGAATTCACGTGCCTTATCAGTGATTTGACGCAATGCTGATTTTCGCATAGGTGGCGTGCCATTTTTGATTTTCAACAATAGTTTCATGATTTTTCGCTCTTTTAGCTCCTCCGGACTGAGGTTCTCTTCATCGACGTCGAGCAACAGTTTGTCGAAGTATTGCGCATCTTCCGGTTTCATGAATGGTAAATTCTGACCCTTTGGTTGGTTATCCATGAATTTGGACTGTTTGTCTTCTTGCTGAATGAAGAAACCGTGTGGTGTTGCACCAGACATTGGTGTCGGTGTGGCGAGAAGCTTTCGACCAGGTGTTCGAAGTGGTACATAGCCAGCAGGTGGTGGCAATACTTTGTATCCGGGTGGAAACATTGCATCAAGCTCATCGTCGGTAAATGGTCGATTTCTTTCGTCAATTTCTTTTTCCCAACGATAGGCTTGCAATTGCTCTGGTGTCATTGCAGCTAAGGCGCCTGGCGTTGGTGTGGCTAACAATGCTGCTTTCAATCCAACTGGAGTCGATCCACCAGGCGTTAACAAAGGTGTTGCATGGCCTGGGGTGGCCGATGGAGTCATAGACGGTGTTGCCATACCCATACTTGGAGTCATCGATGGTGTTGCAGCTGTTGGCGTTTCATCCCAACGTGACCGTCTCTTTGATGCTGTTGCCGATTCGATGATTCGATCTTCTACACCACGATCGGCTTTCGGAGTTTCCATCCAACCGGAATTATGGCCGGGTGTCTCTCGTTCGGTTCGAGGTGTTTCATCCCAACGATTTCGTCGTGTACTCTTCTCATGGGATGGTGTCTCCAGTGCTGGCGTCGATGGAAGATGAGCTGGTGTCGCATCCCAAAGACGCTGCGTGCGTGGTGTTGCTCCAGGTGTTTGAGCTTCAGCTCCGAATGCAGGCGTTTTCTGCAAATTATTAGAAAATTGAATGAAATAAAATGGAAAATTCATTGGAAGAAAAATAAAATTCGGAGAATAATAAAAATTTTGCGTGAAGCTTACCTCAACATCATTCCAAGTCGGAGTGACGGCACCGGCCGCCTTTTTAGCCGGTACAAATTGGTCTTCTATCGTTTGGTCCCATCTTCCGCGTTTACGTGGCTCTACAGCTTTGACTGCATCGCCATTGGACGATTTCACCAATGTTCCATCCTTTGATTTCTCTTGAATCTTTTTACGCAACTGCAATGAGACAAGAAGAAACAGAATTTAGAAGAATTCCCATGAACATGTAAATAAATGAATATATACCTCTGATTCTTCGCCTTGGAGCATTTGCTCCTGCATAATCTGTGTGTATGTTCTGGATCTGTTATCTGGAGTTTTGCCGCCTGCAAAATAACAAAAAAGCCAAACACCTCATTAATAATCATAAATATTTCAAACCATCAAACAGTGATAATCAAATTCTTTTGTTTTGATTTTTTTTTGTCAAATAAAAAATTTCATAAATCTCAAATTTCCTTTTATTTCAAAACTCATTTGAAATTTGATTGAACTTCTTCAATAAAACTACTTGATTTTTCATTACTACATTTTCTTCGGAACGATTTCAAACTGTAAGGGATTTGGTCAAATTTCACGAATGATTTTTTTTTTTCAAATAAAAGGATTGAGAGTGTATACGTACGTGCTGGAACAGACTCGTCTCCATCGATTTAAATAATTTCATTTAAAATTTGTGTTTGATTTTTTTTTTATGACATGATTGATTTTTTTTTTGTCTGTTCTTATTTTTTATATATTCGAATCCTGAAATAATTCTGTTGTGATTAATACTTTTTGACTGATCTTTTAAAAATTCATTCATTCTCACACAAAAGGGGAAATTTGCGGTGGAAATGTAGCGATGCGTACGAGACCCAAATTGGATTTCTTTCTCATTAGTTTACAAGAAATTCAAATTAATTGAATTGATCAGTTGAATATCTCTCTCTAAATCGCTCATTTCGACCGTCAATTTCGAACCAGAGACAGACTCTCCATTCGTCGATGAAGTGTTCAACCTTTCTTTCTATTGGTTTCAAGTCAACACTCATTTGGATGCTTCAGCTTTATCGGTCGAGTCGATTTGTGACTTGTGATTTTCGGACACACACTGACTTTTTAAGATAGTCGTCCGTGACCTGTATTGACAATGTTTGGTAATATTAATAATGGACTCTTCATTGGGGGGATCAAAGATGCATACAAACATTCACGCAAGAGCAAATTTATTTTTTTATTCTATTTTTTTCGGTTACCATGAATTTATCTTTCGCTCTCAATGTAATCAATCACACTCTCTTTTTTTTCTTCTCAAATTCAACTGCTTATAAGTAATCGTTTGCTATTATGTGGTTTTAATAAAAGTTATTTATTTCTAGTCTAAACCTTAAATTAAATAATTGAATGAACTAGATCAAATACTAACCGTCAGCAAATGGATCAGCTCGCTCTGGGGAAATGACAAAACGACGCCGTTTCTGTCGGTATTCATCTTCTCTGTCGGCAATCGTTGGTCTTCGACGATCGGCAAATGGATCTTGTTCCTCTTTTTCACCCTGTGAGGCAAAGCAAACGATTAATAAATTAATCAAATTTAGTTTCATCATTTGACCTAATTTTGATACTGTGCATTGCCGATTTGATGCTCATCAAACAATATTTTCGAGAAAAAAAAACATATTTTATCAGAGAAAAAAACAATTTTCGTTTAAAAAAATCTAGCTTGGTACTAGTTCTCTTCGCTTACTGCCCCCGCTTCAAACAAGCTTTACTCTTTATAAACACTTGGCATTACAATGTTCGTGCAATTGAGCAATTGAACCAAACTAAACCGAAATTGACAAGCAAATGTAATGGAAAATCGATAAAAACAAACTTTTACCTGTTTGATGACATCCTTAAGAATGCTCTTGGGTGCTGTGTATGTGGTGCGTTTGGTAATTGGTAGTCCTTCATCATCATCCTCATCGGCATCATCATTGGCGGCAATTGAAGTCATATAACCTTCGAACCGTCGATTCTTATTGCTGCCATCGTCGTACAATTCACTGTCATAGTAGCCGCTCTCCAACAAACCAACACCTTTTTCACTAGCCTGCGCTGCGGCCAATTCCTTTTTCTTACTTTGTATGTCGGCAATCTGCGCCTCGATATCTGAAACAGATCCAAAAATCCAATCACGAAAAATTAGAAACAAATAAATTGATAACAATCGAAAAACAAACAAAAATTTACGCTTCATTTAAAATTCATGTTTTGGTTATAACACGACTCAAAGGAACAATCACACAGATTGCATTGTAAACGTAAATAAACGTTCACTGAACTACATCGAATATTCATGTATTTTCCACTCGACTCATTTTCACAACAATTTCAACACATTTGAATCGTATTTTCCCATTGAATTTTCCTAGTTTAATGCAAAATTTGTTCGGTTTTTATCGGAAAAATTGAGGAAAAAAAATTACCTTCGTGTGTTCGTGCGATGCCGTCCATCTTTATTTTGTGAAAGTCATATATCGTCGATAGCGCATTAAACACCGATTATTGACAGCGGAGCTCAACTTTATAAAGTATTTCGCGCTTCGTCAGAGTGACAAGCCCAAAAACCGGCATCAGCCAGTTCGTTAAAGCTGAGTTTCGGTTTCAATGTTTTTGAATTTAAAATGTGAACAATTTAGAGCAAATAAATTTTAATTTAATTTATTTCATAAAAAAAATTATTTTTGCTTCACAATAGCACCCAAGTTACTAACACAGTACAAAACTATTGCCACCGTTTACTTAACATGTGTCAAAGTGCGCATTTGACGTTTGATGTTTCGGGCTCCGTACTGAGAGCAGCGTTGTACGCGTATTCGACCAACTTCGGTGCGAATGTCACATTGGGAATCTCTTTCCGCTTTGAAAATTTGACAGGCGAACACATACAAAAATGGTAAGCGAAAAAAATTGTGAAAAATCTCGAAAATCATCGGATAATTCTTCGAAAATTTTATTTTATTTGCATTCAACATGAATTCATCGGCGAACAAAATCAAAATTTCTACGATTTTCATGATATTTTAGTGAAATTTGTGCAATTTTGTGTTTGTTGTTTATCACTTGTCTGGTAATGAAAGCATTGCAGTGGCACACGAAGCAACATTTTTTTTTGTATTGTCATAGCGATGAAGTGTTGATTTTGTTCTTTCAGTGATTGAATTTCAATTCGTTTCCATGTGTTCTAATATCGTTGGTTTTTTGGTTTATTTTCTCAGGCCAAGCGTACCAAGAAGGTTGGAATCGTGGGAAAATATGGTACCCGTTATGGTGCCTCCCTCCGTAAGATGGTGAAGAAGATCGAAATCACCCAACATTCGAAATACACATGCTCATTCTGTGGCAAAGTAAGTACACGAAACGTGATCAAACGCTTTGATTGACATTCCATTGTCGATGTTTCTCTTCCGATGAAAAATCTAAATTTGGTCCAAAACACCGGCTTAAAAAAATCTAAATCCATTTCAAGTGATTCTAACCCATTTGTTGATCTCGCTCTTTCACAGGACTCCATGAAACGCTCATGTGTTGGTATTTGGTCATGTAACCGATGCAGACGTACCGTTGCTGGTGGTGCCTGGGTTTACTCAACCACAGCTGCTGCTTCAGTTAGATCCGCTGTTCGACGTCTCCGTGATACCAAGGAACAGTAGAGATCCGTTTCGAACCAGTGTATTCATAAATTAAAAAAATCAATTTACTGAAGAAAAAAGTGAATGAGAAAAAATAATATTGGATTGAAAAGTGATATGTTATCAAAGCCTTGCGGTTAAATACAATATATCGACAGCTTTTCAAACAAACAAACAAACAAACAAAAAGTCTTTTATTTTTCGATATTTGGATTCATTTCTTGTTTAATTCCATGATGACCGTGCTGAAAAAAGGTTAAAGCGATCAGATTTCAGTGGAAATGTGTTGCAAGTGTGAAATTTTTTTTACGTTTGACATCTCAGTTCTGTTCTTCATATGGCCATCAACAAAAGTGTCTCTTAACAAGGTCATGGGAAATGATTCAGTTTCTTTGAGTAATTTGCTACAGAAAAAAAGTCTTGATAGTTGAACATTTTTGCGAAGTATTTTTGCCTTCATCGCAACATCTAATTGACATACAACGAATTAATTCGATTTCGATGACGTGCAAAACCGAAATCAAACATATTTAACCATTTTCAGCTAACATTCGACAACAAAACAAAACGAAATATCTTTTAGATTCAAAGCACAATTTATTTTCTCGTAATAACAAAACGATTTTAGATTCATCATGAATGGTATTACCATATTTTGTTTTATTGAAACTTTTATTCAGATTAACAAGGCTAGGTGTCCTCGGCATATTTGTGGTTCTTTTGATTTTCTACAATAATTCAACCATTTGTCTAAGCAGATCGTCATATCAAGTGATTTTGGTAATGATAATCCATTCCGCGCTGAACGCAATGCCCCATCGAAGTACATTCTCTGAGACAATAACTGGCACAATGTGTCAGCTATTTATAATTACAATCGAATTGCCATCCACGTTGATAACTTACCATCCGTCAATTACCATCCGATTTTGATGAGTTACTGGTATTGTTATGTGCAAATGTTGACCGTAAATCTTTGTTTATGGTTTTTTCTTTGTCGGTTGGTATTTTCTTGTGATGAATTTATGAACAAATCAAAATAAAATGAGCCGAAAAGAGTCGAAATTCCGCATTTCTCGACCAACTTCAATCTCAATGACTGAACGGTTTCTTGGTAAATTCAGTGAACCGATTATGAGCAACAACCACAGTATGTTGTTTGGAAAAGAGCGTTCACTTTTTAATTTGGTATGTGCTGTGTGTTGTGAAAAAGAACGGGATAAAAGGCATGCAACTGCGAATATATATTTTCTGCGAGAGAAGAAAAAAAGAACAAAAATTGCGACAATGGTTGTGTGCTATCTTTCCGTTGGCTATCGTTCTTCCACTCAACTGCAAAATCTACTATTGTCCTGTTACATTCCATATGAAAATTTTCCATTTATTAAACCAACGGCGCAAAATGAAATTTAGATTTTCAGATAGGGAATGGAGTTAGACGACGACAACAACCAGCCATCGCTACTGTTCGCGCGACTGTGGTTGCCGTTTTTTTTTGCATAGTGTTAATAGTTAATATTTTTGTAAACAAAATAAAAACATTTTGACGCAGAGTCGAATGGGTTTGCATGTTGGAATTTTCATTGGTGGGCATTTCTAGTGAGTAAAAGAATAAGCTGAACTGTTGTAATATTGTCCATTTCATTTATAATGCAAGGTATTGATCGATAAGTTTGGCGTTGTTTTTCAAATGATTTCTCCAAAAAATCCGCATCGCATTTGTGAGTATGCTTATGCTCGTATTGTTTTGGTCGTGAATTGAAAAATCCATGGCACGATAGATAACAAAAGACAAATAGGGGTTTGAAAGAAGTAAGGTAGAAAGAATGATGCAAAACACTCGAATCAATTCAAACGAATTGATGCCGCACTTTGCATGAATAAAATGTAATGTGGTTTTATCCTTCAATTTCTTTGCAACATATTCGCTTGCAGCGATCAATCATACAAACATTGAAAAGTATGACCCTTCAAGTTATTTTACTGAAAATAATTAAATCAAAAGCAATATTTACGGAATTTGTCTCATTTTATTATTTTTTCAAATCTGTACAAAAACCCTGCCTATTTATCATTTAAAATACATTTCATTTTCCCTAAATATACTGCCAAAATTCTGATTGGTCGATTCCATCCAAAACATAAGCGGGATTCAACAGTTCCGATTGACATGGAGTTAAATTGCAACTATGCAATTGTTTCAGTTCATCGAAGTTAACGTTTGAAAATTCTTCAAGCAAATCCGATTGTCCGTTTTGCAATGTCTCAAATTCATAGCTGCGCATCAATTCCGCCTCAATCGTAATGAAATCGAATGGATAATCCGGGTGTTCAATGTTTTGTTGTGATTGTTCGAAGAAATCAGGATTTTCGTACAGACTGTAGGACGATGAATGCGATGTTGATTGGTACGAATTGCAATCGACGGGCGAATGTGTGTAAATTACTGCGGATTGTTCATTCGATTCGGTTGGTACACTCTCCTTTTGTATTTTCTTCGCTCTTAATTTATCTCGTTTTTCCTTTAGCGTACGATTTTTAAACCATGCAGCAACTTCGTATTCGGTTAAATTCAAATATTTTGCAATGGTTAAAAATCGACCTTTTTTTCGAATATCAAATTTCTCTATGTAAAATCGTTCAAGCTCATCAAGTTGGATGACAGTGAAATATGTTCCGATTCTTTGCTTATTTAACCATTTGGTTCGACCCGGCACCTTTGATACAAGGGCTTTGAGGCTATTCTCGCAAGACCATTGCGCCTGAAAGTGATTATACTCAATATACTCAGCCCTATCAAAACAGCGCCTCTCTTGAGAATAATACATCGACATCTTTATATATTGAAATTTAATTTGTTCACACTTGAAATACGATGAAAATGTTTTATATTATTTTTCGAAGTTTTGAAACTGTTTCGCCAGCAATTAAAATTCTTTTCTATCTTGAAAGTGGTTCGGCGGTATAATTGTTGAAGTTAGAAATTCTGAAATGTTCAATCGTAGCTTTCTGCTCAAAAGTCAAACGTAAACTAAAGCACATTCCATGTTTGCATCCGTATTTATCCGCATAGTTTCACTTAGTTTACCATCCTTCCTTCAAACAGGTGTTTCAGGCTGATGTTTCGAGCAATTCTTGTAATTCGGTCATTTGGATAATAGGATTATGAAGGGTTATGAGCGACCAAGATTTGTCTGCGACTTCGTTTTTTTTAATCATATGTCTCAAAACATAATTAATATTCCCAATACGGGTCAACTGTGGACTACTGTGGAGATGCGAAATAGCAAATAATACAAGCGTTGACATTGAGTTGAGTGCACGCAATGATTTCAATGCATTGTTTGCGCTGTTGTGGTTCTACTGTTTTCGCCTATCACCTCACAATTCCACACAACTCCACACTTGAACCATATGGGTAGACTAAACATTAAATCTCACATTGCCCTAAGAAACAATACTCTTACCATTGTCAATGTTTTCTAAGGAAAAATATTCAAAACAAGGTTGAAACATATTCTGGATTAAATGCAGATTTTCTTAAAACGGTCTTTAGGTGAACATTAAAGCACACTTCGAAGAATCTATTTTGTACTTCGGCCAAGTAGTAAATAAAATCACAAAACGGAAAGAAAAAAATATAATTTAGAAAAGTTACAACGATTTTGATGATGAAACGATTCGGATTTTGATTTCTTGAAGTTGAACAAATCATTGCTTTGTCGAGACGTTCGGATCACTTTGGAAAAACCAAATGAAGTGATTTTGATTCAGTCAAAATTCTTATTGGGTCTGGGAATTAATCGTGTCGATTTTTCAAAAGATGGCGTAACTTTGCATGGTTGTATCGGGCAATACTTTTTTCTTTTTCACATGAGTGGTCTAGTGTCAAACTACAAAAATCATCATCTATCATTTCATCGAAGTTTGGATGAACATTTTTTTTTGCACCTTAAATATGTCAAATTTTGTACCGAAAAAGCAACATTTCCCGCAAGCATTAATTTTTTGCTTTCATTTGAAGAAAACTGCGGCTGAAGCGCATCGAATGTTGGTGGAAGCCTATGGTGAGCATGCTCCATCGGAACGTACATGTGAACGGTGGTTTTCACGGTTCAAAAGTGGTGATTTTAGCACGGAAGACAAGGAACGTCCCGGCCAGCCAAAAAAGTTTGAAGATGCGGAATTGGAGGCATTGCTCGATGAAGATTCGAGTCAAACTCAAGATGAGCTTGCCAGAGCATTGAATGTTGACCGAAGCACTGTTGGATATCGTTTAAGGGCCCTTGGTTTCATTCGCAAGTTGTCAAATTGGGTACCACATGAATTGACGCCAGCGCAAGCTGAAAGGCGTTTAGTGACTTGCGAAATGCTGCTCGCAAGGCACAAAAAAAGAGGTTTTCTGTATCGAATTGTCACTGGTGACGAAAAATGGATTCATCACGATAACCCCAAGCGCAAAGCATCGTATGTTAAGCCCGGCCAACCAGCAACATCACAGCCAAAACAAGAAATTCACGGCGACAAGGTAATGCTGTCTATTTGGTGGGATGAGGAGGGAGTGGTGTATTATGAGCTGCTGAGAAGTGGTCAAACCATCGATGGGCCTTTCTACCGACAATAATTGATACGTTTGAAACAAGCAATCAAAGAAAAACGCACGAAATGGGAGACCAGAAAAGAGACATTGATTTTCCTACATGACAATGCTCGGCCACACATTGAGAAATCGGTCAAAAACTACTTGGAAAATAGCGGATGGGAAGTTTTGGCTCACGCCCCGTATAGCCCAGACCTGGCTCCTTCCGACTACCATTTGTTTCGATCGATGCAAAACCATATGGACGGAGAGCGGTTCTCTTCAGTTGAAGAAATCCAAAATTGGCTCGATGCATTTATAGCCTCAAAAGATGAGGAATTTTTTAAGGCAGGCATCCGTCAATTGCCCACATTGTGGCAGAAGGTCATCGCTTCCGATGGACAATATTTTGATTGAAATGTAATTTCATTTTGGTATTCAAATAAATGTTTGAAAATTTAAAAAAATCGACAAAACTAATTCCCAGACCCAATATTACAGCATTTTTCTACCATTTTACACTGACATGGGTAAATACTTTATCGATCAAATTAGGCGAATCAAGCTTCGTCATCATATACGTCGTTACGAATGTAGAAAGCATGCAGAAAATGTTGCGATTTTGTCTTCGAAAAAGAAAATTAAAATCATGTGATTATTTTTTTAGGTACTAACATTTTTTTAAAAATACAAATAAATAAGAGGTTATTCCAAAAGTTCCATAATTTCTTCGTATGATTTTCCTCGTGTCTCTGGTACGAAAAAGTAGCCGAACACCACATTTAATGACGATATAACACCGAGAGTCATCATGCAAATGGGCAGATCAAACCGCTCCAGAAAGCTGGGAAATATTGTTCCAACTACGAATAAAATAATCCATAATAAAGAAACGGAGAATGCGAGACAGGTTTGGCGAATCTAAAATTTGAATGAAAATTTGACGATAATATCATATTTTTTTTGTATTTTAAAGATAATGTATTTTTTGCAAAACTTTTTGCTTTTAACATGTCCACAGACGTATACAAAGGGCAAGACATATTTGAAAAGTACCTTTTTCGGGAATAATTCTATGGCTAAAATGTATGGAATTGGTAATAGTCCCATGCAACTGAAATAAATAATGCATGCAAAACATAACGGAGGCATCCATTGGTATTCGGGCCGCTGGATCCAAAGTAAGCAATAAGTGGCGAATAAGAAGTAAGAAGCCATCGTTAGTATTGATGACCAAATATACAGAGTCTAAAATGGATTTTGGCTTAGAGACGTTCGTATTCAACTGAAAATCAATCATATTAAAATGAAATGCTAAATATTCGTATACTACAAACCCTTCGATTGAATCTCTCGATGATATTCAAAAAAACCAAATTCCCAACGATTTGCGTGATCGAAACTAAAAGTGAGGAATTCTTCTCTGACAACGATGAACCGGTTTTGGAAAAAATATCAGTTACGTAGCTGAGAATTGTTAAAGACCCAGAAGAAAAACTCAATAGGAGCATTGTGAAGGAAATCATCAATGCTTTTCGGGCTTGTGGCGTAACTGAAAAAAGGCAAACAACATCAAAAACCAATTGCTAATTGACTTTAGAAAATGAATTACAAAAATCTCGGATAGTCAATTTGGAATCTGGCTCGTCTTCATCGTTGACTTGAATGAACTCGACATGTTCTGGCGTCACTGTATTCCCTTTGTAGAATGTTCGTGATTTGAGTGCTCGCTACAATCAAAACGATTATTACATCAATCTTAATTAAATAAAGATTAAATTAAAAAATTAATATTAATTAATTATGAATCTTTACCTTATCTAGGTGACCTTTCAGCCAATACTCGGGTGATTCCGGGAATAAAAACAGCACAATTGCGAAAATGATGAGCACAATCAGTTGTGCCTTCACTTGATCCAAACAGTTCAAGTAATTGCCCAAGAAAAATGAAATGATAACTCCTAAATTATACGATGGATCGTATAATGAGTATAGAGCACCCCGAATGCTAAATAAACCAAATCAACGGTTATCTCGCTGTGTTTTGTTTGCAATTTAGCCATGAATATTTTAACGAAATTAATTACTTATCGTTCGAGATATCGTTGACAAGAGTTGGAATGCCAACAACTAATGCACCGCCGACAAACCCACTCAGCACTCGGGCTGCATATAAATAGTAAATATTTTGTGCCCAGATGACAAGCAGTGAACTCAGCTAGAAAAAAAACATGAAAAAATGCATTTTTGATGATTCCACTTTGAATAAATTTGAAAAATCTTCAGCGAAATGCTTACGATTAACGGCAAACCAAACAAGTGAATCGTTCGTTTTATACCAAGCAACTGGCTAATAGGCAAAATGGCGAATGTACCTAGGAATGCGCCGATATTGACGAGTGACACTTGCATCGTTGCTTCATCCAATGTCAAACGGCCTATTGTCAACGTGCTGTTCTCACTTTGGAATTCAAGAAAGTTGATCGTGGCCCAACCCACCGATGATCCAAACGATAGTGTTAGTAAATTACCTATTTTCACGTTCAATTTCCCATTGGATGAAAAATAGAGAATTTTTATAACGATTTAATAATTTGGCCAATGCGATGAGTTTTAAAAATAACCTAAGGGAATATCACGCTCCTGAATCTTGTGAGATATTTGAAATAAACATCAATTGTATGACATATTTTCGAATATTTCGAATAAATGAATCAGATTTTTGTGGATTTTGGAGATATTTGAGATTTTTTGCATTAAATCCGAATAAATACATTTAAATATCATTCATAATCACAAAAATCCACAATATTCCGCCATATTCACAAATATCCACCATATTTCATACGACAGATTCTTAGAGATAAATTGGATTTTTTTGAAATATTTGAAATAATTCAAGCGTGATATTCCCCTAGAAAATAACTTACAACAAATTATAGTTAGAAACTGTTTGAAAACTGGTGATATTCCACTCATTTTTGCCAGACTGTTTTTTCTCTTTTGCTATGCACAACTAATTTCGACACGAATTGTATCATTGAGCGGTGATTGTATGAAATGCAAACGTCAATTAATAGATGATGATTTTGCGCACCGTGCACAGGGTTATATTGGAAAAGATAAAATTTCTGATTTAAAATGATTCGGCACAATCAGGCCAGAGATAAGATAGTGACACAAAAAATCAAATAATTTGCAATAGACGATTAAGATAAACTATCATAGTTCCAGTCAGTGCCAATTTGAATTATTTTGTTCGGTTAATTCAAACTCTGTTGGATCATTGTTAGACAGATATCTTTTTTGAGTAACACACAACGCTCCTGAATGATAATTTTGAATTTCAGCATCTGTTTTCATATTGTCTCTAATTCGTTAATTTGACTTTCGGCTGTTGATTTATTGATGTGTTGTTCATTTATTTTTAGAAACAATTATTATTAAAACGAGAGCCGTTTTAGCAGTACTTCATACCGTGAGATGATATTATTCAGTCAAGCCAATGTACGCTCAATGAATTGTTTGTATACAAAATCGTTTGCGAATAATGACGTTCAAATCGTAATTTTTTCTAAATTATGCGATAAGAAGCACATGCTGAGGCGTATCGTGACTTGTTCCATATGCTCAATCTTTTTTGCCCAGCCAAATTGAGACTGATATAAAAAAAATCCGATAATTTCAATCCGATATTGATAATATGTTAAATGTTGCTCAAATCAAAAGTAGACAGAAGACAGTACTTAACCGACAAGTTGACAATGTGTGGCAAAACTGACTTGTTTCATTGATAAACTTACCGACCTTTTGAGCAGTAGCTTTGTCAAAACCACTACTAATTCGTTCAAGAAAATAAATTATAATATGATTGTGGTGACATACTTGATTGACATTGGTGCACGTAGACTTTATCTCATGAGTCAAAATAAAATCGAACTCCGAATTCTAAAGTTGGAATTAGATGGTATGGCAAAGTAGGAAGCAACTCATCACTGAAAGTTTTAGACTCTACGTATTAAATTTGTTCCATCAGTCTACTCATTTGCGGTGTTCTTTGTTTACAAATTAATTTTTATATTTATTTGATTTTGCGTTAAAAAGTTTTAAAAAAAATTACATCAATTTTAGTCAATTATTATGCGATTTCAATAAATGTCTGTTGACATTTTTTTGTAATCCTAATTAATGTGATTTCACTCAAGAAAACATCACCATTGGGTAAGTCCAGTATAGTGGAATACCGTAAATCAAAAACTGACTTAATAAGATGCCTTTAAAATTCTTAATTATCCAGCAGTGCCATAATTTCCTCATGCGTTTTTCCCTTTGTTTCAGGAACACAAAATATGCCAAATATCGCGTTCAATGAGCTCATAACACCCAGTATGTAAAAACAATGGTGCAGTTCAAAGAAGTCCAAGAAATTTGGAAAGACTCGATCAAGTGCGAACAACACAATCCACATCATCAAAATAGCTGCAGTCAGACATACTTTTCGAATCTAAAATGGGAAAAGGGAAACAGTTTCATTGAGTTGTTTCATTTTTATGGACAACAATTTTGGCATTACTTTCTTCGGAAATATTTCAACAGCTAAAATGTACGGTACTGGTACCATTCCCATGCAACTTATGAATGTAATGAATACGAAGCAAAGCACCGAAATCAATTCATATTTTGGTTGTTTGAGTAAAACTAAACAGTAGGTACCGAACACGCAATAGCTGACAGTTGTTAGGATCGATGACCAAATATAAAGAGTCTGTAAACCATAAAATCGTATGTATGTGACAATTGGAATATTTTTCACAAAAAATTATAACATCTAAACAAACCCTTCGTTTGAAGCGTTCAACGATCGTCAAGAATATGACATTTGCCACCAGCTGAACGATCGATATGCCTAACGAATAATCCTTTGTGTTGGATGATACAGTTCGTTCAAATATACGTTCGACGTAGTTGAAAGTAACCGTAGCACAGGATAAGAAACTCAGCAGCAGCGACAAAAAAGCCACACAAATTGCTTTCTTTGCTTTGGGTGAGACTGTAATAATGACCAAGAAGAACATTTCATATCGACTGTTTTGGTAGAGTACATTTTGCGCTAAGAATTTATTGAAAGAAAATTACGAAAATCCTGCAGAGTCAATTGTTCGTCATCTTCTTCGTCAATTGTTTTGGTTGCAGCCTCGACACATGGATGATTTGACGTGAATCCGATACGCTCAAGTTTATCAACTTTTCCTTTATAAAATTTACAAGATTTAATCGCTCGCTGAAATACAATTTGCACATAAATAATATTGACAAGAAATGAAATATATGTGGCATGAGCACCTTCTCTTTGCACTTCCGAATCCAATATTCAGGCGATTCCGGCAGTAGACACATAATAAGTAGAAATATGATCGGCACTATCAATTGGGTTTTCACTTGAATGTCCATGCTCAAATGTTTTCCAAGGAAGAATGAAATTATTGTCCCGGAATTGCTAAATAGATCGTATAATGAATTGAGAGCACCTCGAACGCTGAAAGCGTAATCAGTGTTAGAATAAGTTGAACGGTTTTTCTTATCGACTGATTGACGTGATTAATATCAACGTCGGTTGATCACCAAATGAATAAAAAAGTTCAATTACTTATCGCTGGATATGTCGTTGACAAGAGTTGGAATGCCAACAACCAATGACCCACTGACCATACCACACAGAAATCTCGATGCATATAAATAGTACACATTTTGTGCGTAAAGAAGAAGGAGGGAACTAGCCTAAAATATGGTAAATTTGTAATTAGACTTATCCACATTTATATTCATGTTTTTTTTTCAATCACTCACAACTAACGGCAATCCAAATAGATGAATCGTTCTCTTGATGCCGATCATTTGACTGATCGCTATAACAATGCAAGTTCCAGTGAAGCTGCCCGCATATAAGATCGATATAACCAACGATGTTTCGTCTTTGGACAATCCTTTCACGCTGTATGTACTCGCTGCATTTTCTAGCTCATTTAAATTGATTGATGACCAACCAGACGACCATCCATAAGATAGCACCAATAGGTTACCTATTCAAAATATTTTTAAAACGTATACAAATGGCAGACAAACACTGATTTCGCATCAATAGCACTTACAAGCAATTATAGTTAAGAACTGTTTATACACAGGCGAAAACGAAAACATTTTATTTCTATTATTATTCACTGGTCACGGAAGTCTGTTGCAAATAGACGAGATGTGATCTTACTGAGCGCACGTTTTAAACTGAATGAATAATTTTTTTTACTATTCATATATTATATGACTTGTTATTAACATTCAACGAATAATGTCTCGTTGCTCGGTTATCAAAATATGCGAACCCTAAAGTTCTATGAAATACTATTGGGAATTCCGCACTGCCAACGTTTGATGTTTGATTTTGGAACCAGTATGAGATTATTCTTTGAAACGAGATAACAGACGGTGGTGTCGCAGCATTGGGTGTAGAATCAATGCGTTCAGTCATTTACATAAAGATCGTTTCATATTATTCCAATGAATTCAAATGATTGCATATACAGTCAGTCAAAAAAGTATTCGGCCACTTGAATTTTTTTTTTATTTTTGGATTTTTTCGTGTTATAAATGACAAAAACCGAACTATTTTCTATCTATTTGTTAAGTTTATAATCTGTTCTTATAAATTCAGGCCGATTCCGGAAATAATTAACATAATTTTTGCCTTTTCTGTAGCCATGTTTGTCGAGAGGTCGAAATTGTGCGCAAAAAAAGTATTCGGCCAAACAGATTTATTTGAGAAATTAATTTCTACAAAATTTTCTATGAAATATCAACATAGACGCTGCAAAACGATGAATTACTAAGATGCAGAGAGACCACTTGATTGTCCATGAACAAAAATTGACAACTGATGAAAAGTTTGGCTTTCCCTTTATGACAGCTCTTGATACGAATTTTTTTATTTGTGCATATTATCATGCTAATTCCTTTGAATTACTTCATTTTCAATCTTGTCTATTCGTAAATTTAACGGTATATCACCAAGGATTGAAAATATTCTGAACTTCATTTGCCTTTCATTTCTAATTATTACCAATATTTTGTTAATGGACAATCGAGTGGTCTCTCTGCATGTTGAACTTTGTTAGAAATGGCTAAAACTAAATCCAAATGATAGAATAAGACCTTATTCATACTATAACTATCAATTTGGACATAAACCAATTCCAAAGTCTCCGAAAAATGGCCGCTTTCGTGAATAAGGAGCCGCCAAAAACTAGTCGTTGGCCATACTTTGACCGAATTTCCACAAATTTCGTAACAAATTTTGATTGATATCTTTCATTTTTGTCATATACTTATCCTATTTCACGATTATATAGCTCAACATAAATATTTATCACAAAAAATTATTTTTCAGTGGCGCTACATCTTCCATTGGCCGGCGCTACTACCATTCGGCCAAATTTCACCCTGCAGCTGACACAATGATGTTTGAAAACTCGTGAAATGGCTTGAAATCACTGTAAATATTAGTAATTCATCGTTTTGCAGCGTCTATGTTGATATTTCATAGAAAATTTTGTAGAAATTCTCAAATAAATCTGTTTGGCCGAATACTTTTTTTGCGCACAATTTCGACCTCTCGACAAACATGGCTACAGAAAAGGCAAAAATTATGTTAATTATTTCCGGAATCGGCCTGAATTTATAAGAACAGATTATAAACTTAACAAATAGATAGAAAATAGTTCGGTTTTTGTCATTTATAACACGAAAAAATCTAAAAATAAAAAAAAAATTCAAGTGGCCGAATACTTTTTTGACTGACTGTACATACATCTTGAACATTATACTTTACTCAAAGTATTGCAATGCACTCGAAACGAGTATAGTGATGCCCGTGCGTCTTGCGTTCAACGTGTATGCACAGTCGCATCGGACTGATCGAGAGTTGTGTAAAGAGCTGTAGGCAACTGTATACTAGTAACGCAAAAGTTTTTTTTTTTCACTATGTAGGCATGTAGACGGATGACGTAGTTTCAGTATCTCAAAATGCGGCTACGTACGATCTGTATGTAATAGAATTTTGGGAATGTATATGCTAGCGATAACATCGCGATACTGGACGTTGCTTGATGGCAATTTATCGCAGGCGTATGATTTCTTTTTCGACTAAAATGTGTCACTTTTTCACGATATGATTTCCGTGATAGCGGATTGAAACGGAAATACTTGATACGATGTAAAAGCGAGACTAAAAATTGCCAAAATGAAAATTTCACAAAAAAAATTGGCTAATTATTTCTTTGTGTCCGAATATTTATTTTAAAATACAAATAAATAAGAGATTATTTCAAAAGTACCATGATTTCTTCATATGATTTTCCTCGTGTCTCTGGTACGAAGAGGTAGCAGAACACTGCGTTCAGTAACGATATAACGCCGAGTATCGTCATACAAATGGGTATATCAAAGCGTTGCAGGAATGTGGGAAATATTGTTCCAAGTACGAATAAAATTAGCCAATCAAAAAATGACATTGACTTTTAAATAATAATTCAATACCCGCTGTCAAACGTGCAATCACGCATTCCATTCGCCACCTGAACAATAGAGAAACATTCGACACCACTTGTCACACCTCGAATTTATTCGAAGTGCCTTAATTATTTCATTCAAATTAATTATTCAATTTAAATTTTAATTCAATTCAAACACAAAACCTAAAATAAAAGGGGGGCTTTGGGCCTGTTAATTGTAACATTCACTCATTCCACAATAAATAAATAAATAATTAGAAATGATTTACTTGCGAATATACGTGAGTTTGTGCGGAGCGGCGTGAAAATCAAGTGACTGACGGTTTTGAAAAACATATGTTATGGCTTCATTTCTAGAAGAACACACGTGGTCTCGCTACTCGTAGACAAACATTTCATTATGTTTTTTCTATAAATAATTCACACACGATCACAACACCTAATTTTCTATAGAGTTTTCGCTCTATGGAACAAGATATGCTACTATATACATATGCAAAAACGTTGAGCATGAGCACACACGACCGAAATGTTTCGAAGTCGAAAATTTTGCCATTATTCTTAAAAAATATCTTAAAATTTCTCATTATCACTGCACTATTTTGGCCGTTTTCATTAAATTTTGAACATTAACGTTTACCTATTTGGGGAATCGAGGGGGAAATCACTCAAAAGTAATTTCTATTTGACAAGTAATTTTTAGGTAATTCGTTGAACAAAAAGTAATTTGCGTTACATGAATGTTTCTTTGGGCAATAAATATATTCAGCTAAATGAGGTCAAAAATTCAATATGCTACAGAAAAAAATCAGTACAATTGAGGGCATTATTTTAACCTCATTTAGAGATTTGTTTTGAATCCTAACGCTCTAAAGCACACAACCGCCAAAAGGAGAGCAATATTCAAACGCTTGTATGATGTGAACCGTACGTCGGATTGGATTGACATTTTCAATAGGCATTTTCATTCGATGAAGTGTCTTCTTGTTTTCTGGTTTTACAACAATATTATATACATCATTCGGTTGTTCTAGACAATAATGTGCATGAAAACAGAAATTTGACTAAAAATTATTATTTGAGCGGCAAATTTCATCGTTTTTAGGTATTCACAAATGTGACACATTTTTGACACCATTAAACAATGGATTTGATTCTTCCCTGATTAGGTCTTTACACATTTCTTTGGCAAACCATGGGAGTGCAATATTTATTTCCGTTATCTACGCCCAAAAATTAACCAATATTGGTTCTGCTTACGCTGAAAAAAACTAATGCAGTAGAGGGTTAATATTTTATCAACCAAAAACGACCAAAACTATAAATCTTCATCAAACAATTCAACAAACTTATCCAAATAAACAATCGAAGTATATTTGATTTGGAAAAAAATATGTTGTTGTGAACCATTTAAGTGCAAACAAACTATGAGTATATAAATAAGCCAAATCAATTGAGTTTCGATCAAAGAAGTCTTGCAGTGAATAGAATCAGAAGTAAAATAATTCGGAATTTTCGGTGGATAATTATTTTCATATTAAAAATGCCTTGTTCATCATCAGAATGTTCAACGAACAGTGTTGGAGCGGGCAATCAACTGTTTGCCTCGGTAATTCAAACATTTTTAACGGCTCAGTGTGCACTTTCATCCCCAGATTTGTGGCCACGAGACTACGGAAAAGTTGGCTTGAGACGTGGTACGCTATTTTGTAATAATTCGAAAATTGGAAGATTTTTTTCTTGATTTTGTTTTAAAATTTGTAAAAAATATTCCATTGCTGAGCAGTGCTAAGTCCAATAACAGCAAGAAATCAATCTGCAAGTGCGAATTCATAAC